TGTAGATTCAAATATAATCAAATCTTGATATATATATAAAGTAGCATACTACTCGATTGTTGCCGGTCCTAAGTCCGAATTAGAAAAGAAGATGGTTCGGAATGGAAGCGAGGTTCTGCGGAAAACTTAAAAACATACCCTTAATGGTATCGCCACCATCACTCGCAGCCAAAGATATCAAGAACCGCGCAAGCTGTTGGAAGACTGAGGAAGGCTGCGAAAAATCGGCGATCAGAACCTGCTCATCGCCTTCTAGAAGAGAGGGGCGCAGCAGCGCAGCCACGACTGCCAAAGATTGACAAGAAAACGAGGATACCAGTCAGTAAATGAATCACTACCAGTTTTAAACAGCAGAACAGCAGACAGCGCAATGTCACCATAACACGTCAGATAAATTTCCACGAGAAACATACCAAAAGTTGGTGCCTCGAAGTCGGAAATGCGAACATCTCCTCACTCAGAAGAAAAGAGAAGGAGCATCATGATTAGGTGGCAAGGTATGGTGGACAGAGTTGCACTTTCTTCAACGAAACGATAGGGTTCTGTCAGTCTCTGCCGGTGGAAGCTGTTCTACCAAAGGATCGATTCTACGACCAGCATTCAAGCCAGTTTAGATGTCCTGACAGAACCCAATCAACTGAACCACTGAATGTAAGCAGGGCAGCAAAACAATAGAAGTCCTCTGACGGAAATTGTAACAGCCGATGATCTTGTTACAGGTACATGCACCAAATTTGGAGAGAGAATAAGTCGCTTCTGAAGGAAGAAAACACTCCGCACGAAGTTTCTCATTCTAATGGGTGATTGATAAGAATGACCCTAACGACCTTAGCAGTAACGGCATAAACTTCCCGTTATTAACATTTCTGAGCATCCAAACGAGTATCCATCAGTATATCTGACACAGAGAAGTTTGTAAAAAAAATCAATGATCGTCTTGATAATCGTATCGTCTGAATTACGACGCTTTTTAATAGATGTTCGCAGAGCTGGCAACCGATCATCACCTTGTTGTTGGCACCCTCAGCTGTAAACAGCGAAGTACTATTGAAAATCTGGTCGCAGAAACAACCAGAGAATCAAATGGGAAACGTTATGTCTTGCGGATATGATGGCAAAACTTGCAAACAACTTCATACGATGCTTTCAGCAGATTCCAGATGCGAGAGCAGGCGTGAAAACCAAAGAGAAGCTCTTTGGGAATGGCCTATTAGATGCTGTCGCTGAATGCTATGGTTTATAACAGACTTGCCAACTGCGTTTACACTACTCCTAACTTGCACCACCGAGCAGAATATTGTCTGATTTGGAAATGTACCGTATTTTAACAAGCTTTCTTACGACTATAAAAGTTTAGATGTCTCCAGCCAGGCTTTGAACAATTTCTTCCACAGCAAGTTTTCCGAAACTGCAAACTCTGGACGCAGTACCTACTGCGAAAAAAATGTGATTCGAATGTTATGTTTTACGGTGGTACCTCGAGTCACGAACTTAATTCGTTCTTTGTCTCCACTCGCGAGTCGAAACAGTTTTTCCCATTGAAATTAATGTAATTTCAATTAATCCGTTCGCACACCCCAGAAACATGGTTTGTTGACTTTTCTTATGTATTTATGTGTGGCAAAAATATATCATATAAAACATACAGCACTATAACTTTACCTCCTTTGCGATTGATA